TCTACATCGTGATCGAATTGGGCTTGCTGGCTATGCTGAGCTGGCGCTGACGGTGCATGCAACAGGGAATCAGGAGTAAAGTATTTGATCTTCTGGACGTATCCCCTGGTTGTCTTCTCGTATTTCCCTGTATAGAATACAGGTCCAGGAGGCCGTTTGGATTGGTATCTATGCATGGTGACTAGTGGATGTGTTTATGAGGCAAAGTAATGGTCAAAGTAAGGACGGTGAGGCAATTGCCATGCGCCGAACACGTGGCACAGGCACCATCAGCACATGGCTGCCATGCATAATGCAGCCTTGATGCAGTGCGCATCAAAATGCAGGGCACCTGTCAAACAAATAATTGGGTGCAATTGCATAAAAGGTATGGCGCACATAAAAACACATGATCATTCATATGTTGCACAGACAAATGAAGTCCGGGGGTTACGAAAAGGTTAAAAGCTGACTGTTCGTCAATACCTACGCCCACTTGTGTTACGACCTGACCTGCGCCCACTTGTGTTACGACCTGACAATATCTGCGCCGTGTTGTTGGCATCGGCGCCCAGCTGTGTGCCTGCGCCCACTTGTGTTACGACCTGACGTGAATGGTGAAACAAAATTATGGCACCTGTCAGATTGCATCGAAGAAAACTTGCATCAAACGGTTTTTGGAGGTTCTTATCCGCAGAGGCGCAGCACCGTTGGTTCGGCATCAAAGGCCATCCATAGAAGATTGGGTTGTGGAAAGCAAGAGGGCATGTTCTAAATCCCCCATCTGCTCAGCAACTCAACCCAATGCAGCATAGCATGCCATTAGTGAGGAGGGACTAGCCAGATGACGAAATTATCACACCTGTCTCAAGCCATGTTTGCTTGTTTGCAATATAAGGCGAGAAAACTTCACCTTGAGATAAGAGCAAAGCCAGCAATTGGGTTGCATCACCAAGCATTTTCGTAGGCGGAGAGCGGATGTTCTAAATCCCCCAATGCAGCACAGGGACTAGCAGAGGACGAAAATATCACACCTGTCAAAAGCATGCTCGGTTGTTTGCAATGTAAGGAGAGAAAACTACACCTTGGGTTAAATTTCCTTGAGACGAGCAATGCCAGCAATTGGGGCACAGCCATAGTGAGATGCTAGCCAGATGACGAGATTATCACGCCTATCAAAAGCCATGTTGGGCTGTTTGCAATGTAAGGAGAGAATCCTTCACCTTGGAATAATTCTCCTTGAGACGAGCAATGCCAGCAATTGGGTTGCGTCACCAAGCATTATCGTAAGCGGAGAGCGGATGTTCTAAATCCCCCAATGCAGTACAGGGACTAGCAGAGGACGAAAATATCACACCTGTCAAAAGCCATGCTCAGTTGTTTGCAATTTAAGGAGAGAAAACTTCACCTTGGCCCTTGGGATAGATTTACTTGAGACGAGCCATGCAACAAGCATCGGCCCCGATGAGAAGAATAGGATCCGTCACAAAGCATCCTCATAAGCAGAGAGGGCATGTTCTAAATCCCCCATCTGCGCCACAACTCAATCTAATGCAGCATTAGTGAGGGACTAGCAAGATGACGAACTTATCACACCTTTCAACAGGACCAGTAGCGGCGAGGGGCAGAAAGATACCAGGGGCGAGGGAGAGGGACAAAAGTGAGCTAAACAAGGTGACTGGCCGCTGGTTGAGATAGTCATCAACAGAGTTCGGTGGACCAAGTCGCAGTGTCGAGCGAGGGACAGAAAGATACTAAGAGCGAAGGAGAGGGGCCAAAGTGAGCTCATCAAGGTGACTGCTGGTTGAGATAGTTATCAACAGATTGCGGCGCTCCAGGGCCGCACAAATTATATCATGCTCAGTGCGTTGTCATAAGGCGGGATACATCACTCACCGAGTGCGTTGTTGTAAGGCGGGATACACGATCTCTGCACAGATAGAGGCATGCCCTGGCGCATCAGATAGCATGCCCTGGCGCATCAGATATTGCCTTTTTGGGGGGACCGGCGTCAGGTACTGATATCCAGATGAGGTCAAGTTTCAAAGGTCCTCACCTGAATATGGTCAAGGGCTCGTCAGGATTGGCGCTCTTTGCCGGGCACGTGTAATCCTTGAGGTCTTTGCAATTTGTTTGTGCTGCCTTGCCCCCTTTGCCCTCTCGACGATAATTTGTGAGCCCACTCCCACCGAACATTCCTGTGACTCCAGACATGCCTTTGTTGCAGACTCGCCAGCCACGGCCCCCAACTCCAGGACGAAAACCGTTCTCTTCGGAGGAGTCAGCGATTCTCAGACAATACCTAGAAGATTTTCGTGTCAAAACGAAGGAAGAAAGAAAGAAGCTGCTGATGTATGAGGTATACAGACTCATGAAGGCCAAGGCACCCCCCCTGCTTACAGAGGAGCAGTGGAAGGAGAGGAAGACGGTGGGTGCTTGCTAGTCATACTGCTGCTCATTTGACGCTTTTGCCATAGAAGATCAAAGAGTGGTTTCAAAACCATGGAAGATGCATCAGGATGCCGAAGTTTGGATATGTCAAACTCATTTCCACCAGATATGTAGTTGCGCACCTGCGCCAGGAGCAAATACATGAGGTCGTGACTCGGCTCGCAAAGGGCACGCCACCTGGGTCAAGAGTGTTTCTTGCTAAATACCAACAAGGCCTAAAGGAAGTAATGGGTGGTCTCACAGACGCTGAGAAAGAGGAGTATAAAGGCTTGGCAGAGGAATGGACGAATGCCGTACCGCCCCCTGACGTCCAAAGAAAGTGAGCAGTCCAAATCATGCCTTTCAGCGCCGTCTCACCTTGACCACCAAACAGACTCAATTTGAAACATGGCCTGGGCATGATGAGAGAAATGGATAAAGTCAAGCAATACCAGCTAGGAGTTTTCAGCTGGAGTCTGGTTGGCGACATAGATGAAAATGGACAACATAGGAGTGCTTGGTTGGACCATAATGCCGATTTTGGTCCTGAGGGCCTCCGAGAGTTCAGAGATATGTTTCCTGAGGCTGTAGGTAACATTCTGGAAGCCTGGGTCCAGTATTTGAACTACATTCAAGGTAAGATGATTATGTTGTCACGCCCTTGATTAGTGAAGTATTGAACTTCAAACTGCAGAATTTCAGCAGGGGCCTTCAGATTCACCGGCGCAACATTGCTATACCAGGCTGAGGCAGAAACGGAAGGCGCCGCATTTTGACCTCGATGGCGGCCTACCAGTGCTTCCTCTTGCGCCCGAGGATAGAGCTGAATCTGGCGATCTACTTAAATCCCTCATCAGAGAATTCATGACCATTCATTATTGTTTGGCTTCAGGCAAGCCATCGGTGGTCGTTCCCTGGTTTTGTTTAGATGAGCACAGGAACACGTTGTGGGAGAGTGAGATGTGGCCTGAGGATGTCAAGATCCGTGATCCCAGCAAATTAACGGTTCCATGCTGCAAGAAAATACTTCAATTGTGGAGAGGCCGACAGCAGACTGGTGGGGCAAGTCACACGTTTCTTTTTTCTTTTTTCATAGAAGATAAGAAACTGTCCCCTGCCCTGCATGACTTGTCTCAACAAGGCAGTACCCCTGCGCCCAGTCTAAGGAATATTGGTTCTGCAGCGGCTGTTGCCACTCCGGCGCCCAATGGGCGCGTTTCCTCAAATACTTCCTCTACGACGCGACCATCGTCCACCAGGCCTGGCCCGACCATTTCCACTGCAGACCCCCACATGGATCCTATTGGTACAACACCATCTGGGACATTGATAGGTAGCCCAGATCAGCCACTGGATCCAGCAATGGTCCCAAATGCGGCCTTAATGACAACAGCGATGGGCACCCCTGCGGCCAGTACAAGGAATATGGGTGCTGTGGCGGCTCTTGCCACTGCTGCAGCCAATGGGCGCGCTTCTCCAAATGCTTCCTCTGGGGCGCATCCAGCTCATTTCACGTCGCCTATGTTAATGGACCGAGGTCTCCCCGATGATCCTGAATCCGATCCGCCCGTTGTAAAAAAAAAGCGTAAACAGACAGCGCGTGTGCAAAGTGAAGACTATACCACTGATCCCACAACTGAAGATGAGACAGTCAAACGGCGCAAGGGTCCACAAAAGACGACCAGAAATTTGGCATTGGAAGATGCCATGGCCAGAAATTCAGGGGAAGACGCTGTAGACGGCGCCGCGCCAATCCTGGCTCAAAAGGCTCGCCCCAAACCCAAACGAATCACCAAGCAGCATCGGCGCCAAGGTCCAACCTCTGCTGAAGAGCAGGACGAAGCTGCCACAGCAATCCTGCCCCCAAAGGCTCGCCCCAAACCCAAACGAACCAGCAAGCAGCCTCGGCGCCGAGGTCCAAGGTCTGCTGAAGAGCAAGGAAACATTGACGGGCTGGAAGATGCCGCAGACCCAAATTCAAGAGTCGCGGCGCCAAACCTGCTCCCAAAGCCTCGCCCCAAACCCAAACCAATCACCAAGCAGCCTCCTTGCCAAGATCCGGCCTCTGTTGAAGAGCAAAGAAACATTGAAGATGCATTGTTTATCCGAAAGTCCACAAGACGCCGACAAGAAAAGGTCAGGGAGGCACCACCTGCACAACTACGTTTGGAAAAAGATGCGTTGAAACGAAAGGGCGCCAAAAGGGGCGCCAATGACATTACAAATGCACCGAGTAGAAACTGAAAGATATGTTTCGGTGAAAGGGCACCAATGACATTACAAATGCAGAGTACTTAAGTGCAATTGTGTTGTGCCGAATCCCAAACAAGTCATTGCATGAAAGGTCTGCCTTTTGTATTGCAAGGTGACTTGGCTTAGTGGTTAAGGTGGGAGGTGTACTTAGTGTATATAAGTATGCCCTGGGTTCGAATCCCAACAAGTCATTGCATGGCGACTACCTGGTTTTTTTCAAGTTCAATTGTGTTGTGCCAAGTGCCATGTCTGGGCCCAGATTGTGACGGCTGGAGACTGGGTAGTCAACATGTCAATGGAGAATTTCTTAGTAACTGGTTACGTTTAAATGACAGGGGCGCCGAACAAAAAGGGCGCCAATGACATTCGAAGGATAGTTGAAACGACAGGGGTGCCGAAACAACTTAGGCGCGCCCATGACATGGCTAAGTGAAAGATCTCAAGTAGAAACAACTGTTCAAGACTTCGATTCAATGTTCAGTATAAAAACAAATGATTTAGTTGTCATCTTGACCCTCTCCCTTGGGCACCGCAGCACGAATACTCTTCCGAGCATCCTGAAGCTCCAACTCCGCGAGTTCCAGGCCCCTGAGGTGCATTTCAAGTCGGTACAACTCCTCGTGTTTTTGACGGCGCAGCAGCTCCAATACTTGTTGGGGGTCCCTACACCGGGAAAGTAGGTTGAGAGCAGATTTGAGCCACTCTTGGCGGTGCTTCACCCCATGACCATCCTAATAAAGTGAGGTCAGTAAGAAAATTGTAGTCAGAATGGCTGACCTTGTTTCTGGGAAACTCTTCACATTGTTGCCTTACCGAATCAGGATCAGCCCAGAGTATCAAAGTTG